TTTGGGAGCTTTGATGTGCGAATCAGGCGGTTGCATGAATGCCCTTATTGTCATGTTATGTGTACACAGTGTGTGAATTATTGAAAATAGTGAGGCCTGAGCCTCATCTGGTAGAGATTACAGTGCAGGCATGCTGGGTGAAGGGCTGTAATTGAAAATCCCCAGATGCTGTTTATTTGGCCTGCGCCACGTGACCTTGCGCGGAGCTTGTCTGAACAAAATGCTGCCCGCGTCGCCCGCCCCCCCGCGCCCAGCCCGCCACTCCAGCACCTGCCCCTCATATTTTTAAAAGCTCAAATTAGATTTGCCTATGCCGTTTAAATAGAGGATGCCTTACTTGGGGCTTTAAACTGCTTAGCCAGTTGTTGACTTGCAGAGCGCTTTTATCTACAAGAGGCTTTTTGTTAGCCAATTTGCCTTTAAGGCGTCTTCCGAAAGCGTCACCGGCAAGTTTTAGGCAAGCCCGATACTCTGCCGACAAAATGGAGCGGCAAAACTTCCTAGCGGCCGCCCGGCTGCGCCGTGCCCGGCTCGGGAAGCGCCGGCAGCGACACTTCGCTGGGGGAGGAGGTTGAATGCGGCCTCTCTCCCAGTGAGGCCCTGCGGAGGGACCCCCGCGAGCCAGGGTGGCTCCTGGATCCAGCCGCACTCGGAGCGGGACAAAGAGCGAGCGGCATTGTGGCTCGGGCTCCCAGTGCGGCCGTCTGGCCAGTGTTTGGCCCTCTGCGCGCATCAGCTCCTCTCGGCAGGCCCGAGCTGAGGCGCCGGGAAATAGAGGGTACCAAAACCAGGCTGAAACGCTTTGCCGGGGGGGAAAATATGGCCCTGCGTGTGCCTCGCAGGTAGTGACTCTGTTCTGCGAGGAGCTCAGCATGCAGGGCAGCGTCCAGACCTTGTGCTAAGCCTGGGAAATACCTTTGCCAGCTGTGGGCTCATGGAATTTGGAGAAATTCATGGTATCGTTATTTTGAAAAACAGAATTTCTCCGTAGTCACTACTTGATTGTTGTTGTTGTTAAATATGGAAACTTTTTAAAATTAGTTGATTATTTTCAAATTACTAAATGGTTTAATTTCCCATGCTTATCTGTTTTTATCCCCTTCAGATGGTGCCTCTTCCTGGGGACTTTAATTCAGTGCTTTAATTCCTGTTACTGGCACTCTGAGCAAAGTCACCGGCCCACCACGCCGGCCTGCAGCCCCGCAGAGACGCTTCCCTGCGCCAGTGTTTGCTGGAGCTGGTTTGTTTAGGCTGGTGCTTCTTGGGGAGGGGTAGCAGGACTGAACCAGGCTTGGGAAAGCATACAGAGGCCTTTGGCCCTGGGGCTGCCGGCATCCAGCAGCGCGAGCACAGGCCTGGCTTTGCATAGGGCCGGCTTCTCACCCTGCCCAAGGCTCAGGTACCAAGTAAAGCCTCGCTGGTAAATCCCTGCACCGTTTCCTCCCTGAAGCTCCTTTTTAGATACTTTCTGGCATGGCTAAAAGAGATGTCCCTTTGCTTAAAATGCACCTTCCACAGTATCTGCCAAGGGAGAAATTTATTTTGTTATTTAACTCACGGTACAGAAGGGCATGACAGATAAAAGCCTGAATTTAAAAGAAACAAACAAAAAAAAGCCTATATAAAATATTTTCTGTGGTCTTTTTCTGATCCTTTCATGATCCCTAGAAGGATTCCTGTGCCATGAAGATGTTTTATCTGGCTGGGCGCATCCCCCAAACTCTCTCTTTGATACCTGAACCAAAACATTCAAAGTCGGAGACTGACAGAACTGATGACAAGAAGAAGGAGTTGAACATGTACAGTTCATAAACATGACCTCTTCTTTTCTGCCAGGCAATTTCCCAGATATATGTGTCAGGGAAAAAGAGTGAGGGTGTGTACATGGAAAAAATTTCCACAGCTGAGCTGCTCTTAGCGAAAAACAGATATGTTCATTGATGGCCTTTATTCACCCTGTGATTTCTAATGGCTGGTCTGAGCCATTAGAACCTTGCTTCAGGTTCTTCTCAGGCTCTAAAAGAAGGAAAGTATCTTTCTAGGATTATTCTGCCTTCCTTTCCTTAAAATTCTGTCTTTTTCTTAGTCCTCTGCAGATATTTTATTTTCTGTTAGTTTCTATCAGAGCTGGAAAAGAGCAGCATCATCAAGTTGATAAGCTTTACCTTGGGGAAGTCTATTTTTTGTTCATATTGGGTAATACGAAGATTTTTGTGTATGGCATCGTAGGGGTCTAAGAAAGACATTAGGGCTTTTCAGGTCATTCTGTAAGGTAGAGGCTATTTACTAAGCCCTGTATCTTCTGCTCTGGTTAAACCTGGTGCATATTTCTTTACTGGTTGAAAACATAATTGTTAGGAAAAAGTAAAGCTGTTGCCTCGGTCACTTTGCACAATTCCTCCTAGGGCTGCACTTGCTGTCTGTGAGCTCCGGCTACCCAACTTGGTGACTCTTCCCAAGCCAGGCTTCACCTGCAGTGAAGGTGAGCACTTCGCAACACCACCATCCAGCCAGTGATGCCCCTGCGGGCTATATGGCGGCCATAGTCATGCCAGAGCGGAATGGGAGATCACTCGGCTCTAGAAACGACTCTGAGAAATTTTTTAAGTTATGGATCTGCTTACAAAGCTGTAAAGAAGGCCCTTCCCGTGAGGGAAGAACCATGTGTATTTAAAAAGTGAAGATGTTCTTGTCGCCTGCCACGCAGTGACTGTGTGAGTGGTTTCAACCCCGGCCTGTCTGTGTGGCGAGCTCTGAAACCTCCTGGATCCCAGCGTGCTCCTGTGTTTGCATTCCTGGTTGCCCCGACATTAAGGCTCCCTGCCTGCAGGCAGTGAAATGTGTCCTCCTGATTTTCTTTTTAACCACCTCCTTACTCCCTGCAAGCCTCATACTCACTGCAGGGACACTGAGGAGGCGTAATATACAACCCCAGGCAAATGTTTTTGGAAACCTCTTTCCCAAAGCCCCTGCAGCATGAGGTGCAGCCACCATGTGCTGTTCCCTTTTTCTTCTCATCGCCACGGCCTCTCCCTCATTTTTTATCCCCAGTCGCAGCCCTGTCACTATAAGGACACTGCTGTTATTGCGCGAAGCTGCAGAAGGAAGGACAGCCACATAAATGAAAATTCCTTCTCCATAGAGGATCTTAGTACTCAGAATCAGTCTCATCCTAGGATATTTAAACAAAGGCAATGTCACTATTATATACTGCAAGTTGTCTGTAGTGAGCTATTGGTGCTAGAAGTGTGGCCCTTCCTGCTTTGGGAAGGATTTGTTGGTATAGCGGAAGCAATGTTTAAAGTCTCTCCAGTTTTCCTCTACCTTTTCTATTGAAAGTGAACTATTTGGATGATGATAAAGAGAGTTTGAGAATACAGAGATACAGAAAGTGCACGCTGCAGTAGTTTCACTCTGTGAATACAAAGCTTTTGTTCGCGGAAAACAGCAAGTACCTTCTTGGCACAGCGCACTGCGAAACTGCTGTCCAGCCTAATGACAAGGTCTGCGCGTGGCATTAGGTAACTAGCTGCGCCCTTTGCATGTGGAAACCCATCATTTATGTGTAGAAATGCTGGTGTTGGTGTCTGGCATAAGGTTCAGACCAAAACAAAAACGGAATCAGAGAAACTGTAGCTCTCCTTGGGATAACAGTGGTATTTCATATTCCGGTACTCATGTAGCAAACAAACTATCCGAGAGGAGGGAGCACTCCGCTGCTGGCAGTGAGACGTTTTATGCCAAGGGTGTAAAATAAGGTTCAGAGAGGAAGGCAGAAGGAAAAAGGAAACTGAAAGCCTAATTAAACTAATTGTGTTCAATGTTCTGCTTGTGAAAATAGTCTTGCTACCTAAAACTGCCCTGTCTCTCTGCCGCAGCATCAGACTGGTGGAGTTGGAGCCCCTGGCTGATGTAATAGCTTTCTGCGCTCACCCACTTCAAAATAACTTGGTGGGTGACGAGGTATTTTCTTAACCTCTCCTCTAGTGCTACTGAATCCATTTTCTCATGTTTTACAGATGGGTTGCTTCTCCCCTGTGCTGAATGCAAATAAGCCCATAACTTCAGACTTGTTGAACAAGTATATTTAAGTTATTACAACTCACGGAGAAGAAACATACTATGTAGTGAAAATAAACAGGGTGCCACATAAAACTTTGTTATCTCCCATGTCAGCAAAATTTAGGAAAGAAATTATTTGGAAAGAAAATGTTTATATAAAGTAGCATAATGTGTGACTGAAGAAGAGTCAAATAGCCATTTTAGAAACTTGGAAATACTGCACATTTCCAAGAGAAATAGAGTTGTAACTAACAAACCGCCGTGTTTATCATTCCCTCCGCGGCAGGGAGCCCAGGCTCGCGATGCGACTACTCGTGTGCTTAAGCTAAGGATGTGATTAGTAAGGTGCGGAAGACCCAGAGTGCTTCCTGCTAAATCGGATAGGTTTTGTGGTCCTCCCTGTAAGATTCAAGCTCTGAGAAAAGCTGCGGTGCAGCTGTTGACTCTGGACAGTGCTGGGTTCAGCTCGTGCGGCTTCCCAAGGTGAGCTACCTTTCCAGTGGCTCTCTGCATGGACCTGCCTTGGAAACGTTGGCCTGGAGGGCAAACCCAGACCTGGTGTCACCTCCCTGCAGCCGCGGGGAGCCCTCTTAACCTTCCAGCCACTTTGCACCTTGGCCAGAACCGCCAGCTCGGGACCTGCCTCACTGCTGCTCTGCCCCGCTCCAGCAATAGCTGCTGCCCCGCTGCCAGACTTGAACAGGGGAATATTTTAGCCATCTGTGCACAGCTCATGTGGCAGATACAATGTCTGTTAAGGAGGGAAAAGAGCAATATTGATGAATAATTAGAAGTACTGATGAATGGTTTGTAAAGTCAAATATGTGTAAAAAGAATGTCTCGTATGCGCAGAGCTTATATTTTTAAATGTCATGTTTTGGTGATACTTACAGATGTGGTGCTACTCATCACTTATCATAAATTTTTCTTTGTTTCAGGTAGGAATGAATTGATAGCAAGATACATCAAACTTAGAACAGGGAAGACACGGACCAGGAAGCAGGTAAAATAACCCAGTGGGGAAGTATGCATGTCAGTGAATGACAAAACATGGCATTTTTGGCTGCAGTGGCTGTCTTTGCTTCAGCTCTTTTGAGATGATATATTGACTTCACTGTTATGATTAAATATGTGCCTTTTAGAAAATATTTAAAAATGGGTTTTGTGTTGTACATCATTTCAGTGACAGTCTGAGATGCATTTTTATTAACCTGTGTGTACATGAAACTAGCATCCCCCTTATTTGAAAAAAAAAGTTAAATTCAAAGCAGAAAACAAAGTATTGTGCCTTATCTTTCTAGAAGGACTTTCTAGAAGGAATTATAATGTAATTATAATTTTGGCGTGGTGAATAATGAAACTTCTACATGTCCAGGCAATTTGCCTATATAATAAAGGTTATAATCCTTGGATATGAGAAGTAACAAGTATCTAGCAGGACAGATAATAATCATACTGTCAGCTCATGGATAGTTGCTGCAGGATGAAATAACAGAAATAAAAAATCCCCATAAGAGCCTTCAGGCTCCTAGTCTGTGACTATGGAAAGATTTCATTCTTCAAAGTGGCAGAATAAACCTCTAACCAGTCTTAAGTCTTTCTCCAGTGATTATTGCATGACCATTAACTTATCTCGTATGACTAAATCACTTAATTTATAATATCCATGGTGATCAGCAGTCCCACAGAAGACAAAATGTGTCTCGGTGTAGTTTGTTGTGGTGACTAAACTATTGCGCTGTTCCAAGTTGCTTTGCGAGGCTCAGAGCCCCTTGCTTTCTCTAACGTGACGTGCTCGGTGCCAGGTCTCCTCTTGGTGCGTGACAGAGGCGAGGCCTCGGCTTGCATGTGCCGCGGGTCTGGTGATGTGGAGAAAGGTGCTGCTGAGACGGCACCAGCAAAGGTGGCCTGCTGCCAGCACTCATCTAAAAGCACTTTGAATTGGGTGATATTTTGCCCTGGGTGATGTCCTTTGTCTATTAGGAGGAAAACATATGTACAAGGGAAGAAAAATGAAGTCATGAGAAGGCAGAGAAACTGCAACGCACAGAGAAGGAACAAACAAACGATTACCAAAGAAATCTAACACTAAAGAAGACCCAAGTTCTGCCCTGTTATGCTTAGATGAGCCCTGCTAGTTTGGGGTTACACTGGTGATCTTAAAATTGCATCTGGAGTCAAAATGCAGACTGTATGGGCTAGATCCTTGGCCAGTGTATGCTGGCAGAGACGCAGTGAAATCAAGAGGGCTGCAATGACTTACATATGATGATGTTCTGGCTCTGTACGTGTGCCTCCATCTATGATGTGTCTAGTGATCACTGTGATGAGTGTTTAGAAAAGTTTGATTTTCCTCGCTTTAGAAATTCTACTGAGCAATTTAGCATTAGAGTTGTGCTCCTTCTGTAACCTTTAACACCACTAATAGCCCACTGAAGGTGTGTGAAAACCTGATCTACATGTTTGACTCTAAAATTACTGAGTAAGCCATAGTATAACCCTGAGTGAGCACAGGCTGCCTCCTGAGCTGCTTCTTGGAGGATTTCTGAAGGTGGCCTTCAGAGACGGTGCTCATTCATGTGTCACTATCTGCTTCCCACTGAAAATACAGGGTGTTCTGATACTACTGTCATGGAATAGGCTTTAAAAAGGGGGAAAGTAGAGCTTTGTCCCCCTTCCCCCCCCCCCCCTTTTTTTTTTCATTTGTCTTATTTCCCAGACAGGAATTGTCCTAACTTGAATGTGCACAGCCCCTGGTACAGTGGCTCTAGGTCCAGTAAGAGATCCCTCTCCTTAGCAGCTTATACCACTGCGGGCTTTAAACACTGACATTGAGGTCTGCAGCCCTGTGCTGTGCTGAGCTGTGCAGTTTAAAGCCTCCTCATCCACCCTGTGAATTTTGATACATGGCGGAGGAAACAAGAAACAAATCAGGGCCCCAGGTCCTTCCCCGCACTGGCAACAATTTTGGCTAATAATATTGGTCCAGTGTGGAACTGGGTTTACCCAGGTTTCTTACTGCCATGTAATAGGTACTGATGATGAGCCAAACCTGGGCATTGCTCACACTGGACTTGGGATCTTGGTCCCCACCATCAGGAGTGTTTTATAGGTAAATTTGATGCTTTGCGTACAGAGAAAGCCAGCATAGGTTCTGCTTTGGAGACCTATATTGTGCCAATATTTTCCTGTTCATTCCACAGTTTAGAGGATTTGGGTCAAAACACAGCCAAAGGCCCCTGGTTAGAGCTGTAGAGCACAACAAATAAGGGATAAAATTAAACGATGCTGAGCGAAGTCACGAGTGGCAGAAACGATGCCCTGCAGCCCTGGGCTGGGCCTCGCTCCGGCAGCCATGGCACCCTCGGGCCGGGCAGGACGCGCGCGGTCTGCGCCCGCCGGAGCGGGGCCGGCCTCGCAGCGCAGCACCCACGCCGCTGCGTCCGGCTTTTCCTCCCGCAACCAAGTCCCTGCAGCGACGACCCGTACGGCCAAGCCTCGGTGCTAGGAGTGGGGTGTCTGCCTGGTCACATGGTGTCTTTAACAGCAGAGCTTACTGAAGATGCAAATAACCTACCCCTGCGGAAAGAAAAGAAAAGAAAAAGTTATTTTTAAAAATAGATATTTTAAATTTGATTTGCTTTTTGTTTTTCTTTTGTTTGTTTTTTTTATAAACCTGAACAATGTAGGTGTCTAGTCACATACAGGTCTTAGCAAGAAAGAAAGTTCGAGAAATTCAAGCCGCCATTAAGGTACGTTTGGCTTGCCCAGTTGTAGGGGGCTTTTCATCTCCATGGTTACAGGCTTTTCCTTTGTTTCCTCCCTTCCCCTACCCTGCAGGTGTCTAGTCACATTCAGGTTCTTGCCAGAAGGAAATCTCGTGATTTTCATTCCAAGCTGAAGGTATGCGCTTTTCTGCTTTTGGGCTTGTGGTTGCTATGCATTTCACTTCCTGTTTTCCATGGTGATTGGTGAATGCCTGGTGCTGTGATTCTCGTAACCTAGTTTTCTTGCATGTGGTAGCTGTTTACATTTCTTTGTGTTTAATCTCTGATTTCTGCACTCACATCCACATTAAAAAGATTATTTTAACACTGTCCAAATGCAAAGTGAACGACTCTTTGTAACAGCTCAGCACCTAAACCTGATTTTTTTTAACCCATTAGTTTTTTTTAACAATTGAGTAGTGCATTTAAATATACAGGGGTTTTTATGCACTTGTAGAGGCACTTTTGCTTTTTCCAGAGGGCTAATTGAGGGAGTTCTTTTCTGCTCCATTTTTTTTTTTTTTTTTTTTTTTTTTGTCTGTGCTTTGGAAATACCATCAAGAATACTTAAAATAGATTGTTTATTGGAAGTGCTAGACAGCACAGTTTATCAAGATTGCTCTAACTATAAGGTGTTTCTAGAGTACAATCTTATACCACTTTAAGTGAAATTCTATTTTCAAGATTCCCTGAAAAATTATTTTTTAAAGTACAATGTTGACATTTAATCTTTGGAGAGCCCCTGTCAGAATCCCCTTCAAGGAATATTAGGTATGTCTGCTTAATCTGACTTGATGAATTGTACAGGTCCCCATTTTCCCTGTTTTCCATAAACTATATTCTAAGGCTAAAAAGAAACTCTTGGAAACGTTTATAGGGGTTTCTTGGTTTGCTTGCCTTTTCACATTTTCCAGTGTAGAGCTTGGGACTCTTTTTGTTTTGCTTTTATATTACTTGAAAGTGGGAGAAGAGGGAGCTTTACCATTTTTGTTGCTGATTTTTATTTTTAAAGAAAAAGCAAAGAAACTTGCAAATCTTTTACTTCCCTCCTTTTTTTTTTCTCCTTTTTTGTTGATTTTTTTTTCCTCAGATGAGAACAAATCATGTTTTTGTTCTAGCTGAAAAGCAAAATGTTTCAGAAAGTAATTTCACAATACTAAGTGGTGAGCTCTGTGGATCTTACCACAATCCTGGAACTGCAACATATAAATAACAGCCCGGCTTTATAACAGGCTTTCTTGACAGAAGCATTTGGTTTTCAGTCCGCAGTGGGCAGCATGCTGGCAAGCTTGTATGGCTGTTGGTGGCTGGCTTTTTAGCTGCACTGGCTGAGCAGTTGGGGTTCGTAAAGAACAACTAAGACAACTTAAACATACTGCTTTTTAACCGAGGGTGCAATAATACAGAGATATGTGGCATTTTAAGCTCAAATTGTCAATCCTTGATGCCTAAAATTAAGTATGAAAAATAGAAGGCCCTACTTTCGGAGGTGCTCAGCACCAGCAGATCTCAGGGATTTTACAGGAATGACGAGTGCTTAGGGCCACAAAAATCAGGAAACGTATTTAGATGTCAAAATACAGACCTAGGAACCTACAAAAATATTGGCTTTAATATTCTAAAACATTTCCCATTCTGAAATAACTTTTCCAAACAACTTCAAACTATGAAGAGACTCTTTAAAACAACAAAAAAAATCTTTATTACTGCACCTGCTGTCTGATTTTTATTGAAGCTTTCCAAAGAAGAAAGAAGCTAGCTAAACCCTGGTGATACTTAAGTCCTCCAGCCAAAGTAATATTTGCAGTAAACAGAGATCCAACTTCTTTTATTATTATTATTTTTAAAGCATTGCCTGAAGAAGGAGAGATCTGTTAGGACAAAGAAATATTTTGTCAGGGTTTCTGAACTTCCTGCCCTTTCACATCCATCAGCAGGTTGCAGCAGACACTTTCTTCAGCCCTCAGAGAGGGCATACGAGGATGGAGAGCCTCTGCAAAAAGGGAAGTTTACCAGGCCCTGCATTTGCCACGAACCTGCACTCAAGGCGGCCCGTTCCATCCTGCTCTCCCACCTCTCTGCAGGGATCGCAGGCAGCAAAAGCTGCCTGCACTTTTCCCAGCCACCTCGAGCGGTGCTGGCAGGCAGCCCTGTGCCTGCCCTATCTTGAGTGTCTTGAGCTGTGACACGATCGCACCTCTTCTCTGGGACCCTGGCCTCAGGAAGGCCTGAAAATTTGCAGAGGATCCAGCGAGGCTCTCCCCATCACTCATGGGCTTCTTGTCCCACTTGTTCTAAAGGCTCGAGATCCTGTGGCTTGACCTGTGTGCTCTTTGCACAGATCCCATCCAGAGCATTTGCAACAAACATCCAGTGTTTGTTCTCCCCAGGTGGAAGAGACTAAGTGTTGACGAGAGCAGTTGCTGTAAGGATGCTGGCTTTATGAGGAAGGGAGCTTTTACTTCATGTGCCTGATTGAGGGGCCGTGTTTACCAGCTTGCAAGTGGGAGGAACCACTAGTTTTGAACCTGAGAAGGAATCTCATCCCCCCAGGCAATTTTTTAGCGGCATTGCCAGTAATTCTCTTCTTATTCCTCTTATTGAACCATCCATATTTTCCGGTATACTTCGAAAACTGCTCGAGGAAACATTGCTGATTTGAAATGAAGACAGGCCAAATTTATTTTATCATCCAGGAATGGCCATTGTTCCGGCGGGGCCCGTGCTAGCAGCAGTCTGCAAAGGCCCATTGATCTCCGGGAAGATTATGCACTCTGCTTCTCCTTCTTGAGCAGGTGCTGCCTGCATTTTGCCATGAAGGGATAATCGCTTTCAGCTTCGTTTCTCCAGATTAGCGTTCAGGAACAGGTGGAAACTGCCCGTGAGCATCTGAAGTAACAAAGACTGCCTGGCTCGCTGCGCTGCACCCCGCTTCGTGCAGCAATCCTGCGTCCTCTTGGCCAGTCTCACAGCTTCGCCCATGAGCTGGTACTTGCAATTACTTTGTGAAACGTGTTTGGTGGCATTATTACTTAAAATAACACATGCCTCCAATGTCAAGTTTCTTAATTACCGCATGAGAGGAAAGCACACTATGGAAGACGTCCAAAGATCCTTCTTGCCAGTCCCTAATTACGAGTTCAGCAAGGTCAGACCTGAGGCAGTCCCGTCTCCTGCTGCTGCAGAAGGATTCCCTCAGCGCTCCTCCTGCCCGTGCAGGCAGGTTGTTACAGCGACGCGGCCTGCGGCTTCGGTGTGGAGGTGCCCTCCTCCCGCCGGGACATCCCCTCACACGAGTGGTGGTCTTGGTATCCTGAGTTCTTGACCTTTCAGGGTGCAGCTGGTCTGTCTCATTGACCTCTGCTCCTGATTTCTGTACCTTGACACAGGATATAACCAGTAACTTTTGCTCCTGAGACACCTTGTCGGTTTATTTCGACCCCGATCCCACTGAGGAATCCAAGGCATTCACTCTCTTGTTTATCTTCTGCAAAAATCCAAACGGATGGAAAAGCTTCAGAGCTGTCCTTATCCAAGGCACTGTTACAGTATTGCTGAAGCTTACCTGATAGACTAAATTCTTAGCCACTTGCTGTCAACTCTTGTTCGTACCACAGAGTTTCTTTCCTTCAATAGCAAATACCAGAAATCCCTTAGGTTGATGAATCCTTAGCCCACTAGAAAGAGAATTTTGACCTGTGATTGCTGTCACTGCAGTTCAGGAGCACAGCCCTTCCGGGTATGCTAAACCTTTTCATTCCTTTTGCTACAGAAAAGCACTTTTTAGAGATTTGTCTTGTCTGAGATGATTAATTTTTTTCTGAAGTTAGAGAAACTCCTTCTCATGAAAGAGTTAAGAGAGGTCGGAATAAAGGAGTTCTTAAAGATGGATCTGAGGGGCACTTCTCTTCATGACATTTCCTCTCACTCAGAGACTGGAGGAGGGAAAGCAGAATTTTTATGTTCTAATGTTGTTTTTTCCACCTCAAATATACAAGTCCATAACATCAGGTTGCAGCATTTCCCACCTTTGCACTGGCAGGGAGCCAAAATCATCTCTATTTCTTCTTGAAAAAGATGCATTGGAAGTTGTGCCTAAACAGAGAGTCAAGAGTCTTCACAGCAAGATATATATCTGTTATATATCTTAGACTTTCATTTTGGATATTTTTTTTGTAGTGCAAGATTAATTAGAGACAAAAAGAAACATTAAAATGCCTACAGTTCACATGTATTACATATTTTAAAATCCATTATTCTACCTTCTGCATTGAAGGATAAAAAGAAAATATTGTTGTCAATTATAGAATGCTAAAGATAGCTCTATACTTTTTAAATGAACAATGATAAAAGCCTTGAAAAATTCCCTTTGATGTGAATGGAGTCTTCAGCATTTTGAAATACAATAAGATGGATTAATTGCTACTCATTAGGCAGCAAGTTGGGACAGCTTTGAATGCGCATTCTCTTCTTGGCATTAGCTATTGCCTGGCTGAAATAGCCAGCTTTTGTATTTACTCCTGTCTTCTCTAATAATAAGCAAATTGGAGATCAGGGCTAGAAACACTGAAGTGCTCTCTATCTTTTGTCCAGAACAATTGTATATTTTCATGATTTGTTTATCTTTTTTGAGCTACAGCTAATTATTGCAAAGGTTATTTGAATCAATACAAGATCTGAGCAGAAATAACATCTGCAAAATTGCTTATTAGGAAACTATTTTGTGTTAGTGTTACTGTAATTTTGTGAGCAAATTGTTGTTTCCTCTCCTATGTCATTTTTTTTCTTACAAGAAAAGTTTTGTATTTGAAATATTGGTACAGGTTTTATGCTTTCTTGAATTAATATTGTATTTTGATGTACTTAATTTTCTCATACTGTCTTAGACTTTCTTCCCCAAAGTCATAGATAATGTGGTATTCAAAGCCCCATTTACCATTGTAGGATAACAGGCTTTTTTTTTTTTCTGTAGAATTAGTTTGAACTGATTGAATTATTCTAATGTTTATGTTGGATTAAAAGAAAGTCAAGCACAAATCTTTTTGTGCTTGGGATGTAGAAGTCTTGTTTCACATGGGGCTTTTATGTTATGGCTAGTAAGATTTATAATTGGATGACACTGGGGATTTTTTCATATCTAATTTAACTGTGTGTATTATATTCCAAAATTAATGGGCAAAAAGTGAAACTCAAGGGCCTGATTCATTAAAAGTTACATCCTTGTTTAGAGCTTGCCTGTTATGGGCACCAAATGTTTGCTGCTGCAGTCCAACGTAGTCAGCTAGAACATGGAAGAGATCCCAGTCTGCATTTCAGTGGTGACGTTTTTGAGACCTTTGCCACCTTTCCAGCCTCCCAGTCCCGCCCAGCACTGCTGCTACTGACATACCAAAGAGCGGGAGACTTTCATAACGAGAGAGGAAGAGAGTAGTTCAGAAGTGAAGTCTATTACTTAGTGCAGCATCATTCCTGGGCGGCAGCAATCCCGTGAGAGCTCGTAAATTCAGGAGGGTCAAGGCAGACCGGTGCCAGATGGGACGTATCCAGGGAATACCTAAAGCTGCGGCAGGAGTTAATGATTCGGTAGGAGATGCTGCTCCCGCAGGCTCCCGCTGCGTGGGGCACTGCGGCTCCGCCTGCTCTGGGCCGGGTTTTCAGTTTACTTGCGTGAGTATAAACCTCACTGAGCTGAAAGGATTTATTCCAGATTTACAGCAGTGTGAGTGAGTGCAAAAACAAACCTTTTATGTCTTGGACAAGATAGAAAATCAAAGTCTTAACTATTTGTAGTCGTTAAAAATCCCACAATGTTCCCGTTCGGAGTGGGGGTGTTAACCCACTTGTCCTGGCCAAATTCCAACCTGGGTAATTACTGTAATCTGCCTGTTTAAATTACCCCTGCCGTTTTAATTGGATATATTACTTCTCTTGCTGCCTAACCTGTGATGTAATCCCATTGTGTGGTGCTAATCGGGGACCGAGCTGCATCCCAGGAGTGGCTCTGCTGCAGCAATAGGTGGAGGATTCCCTCCGTGTCACATGCACTCTCCCTTAGAGCTTTAAAAATGACATACATACATACACTATATATATATATACACACACACACATATATATATAAATTGGCACCCAAGGTCATGTTTCAATTTAAATAAACAACTTTTAAGTGTGTTTTTCTCATTTCTTTCTGAAGACTGGCATGTCTGCCTGATTATACAAGTACAGGCCACCAGCTTGCAGCTCTCCAGAACTTTCTTGGAGCTAAAAATGCTTTGTACCGATGGACATCAAGACCACTTACATGTCTGTATTTGATTTCTTTTGTGTTTGAATGGGAAATTACAGTAATTTTGAAAAAACAAAAAAGCACTATTTTTCTAACTGTGGTTCCTAACCTACAAAAGGTGGAACTTGCCCTGATAAACCCAGAGCCTGCTAAGGTGTAGTGGAGCTGGCAGATTTGTGACTTACTGAGAAACATTAGAGGAGTCCCTGAAATTCCTCGAGACTCTAGCCCAGTCCCAAGGGCTGCATCTTGGAGCTGCTGTCCTGTTTTTGCCGTCTCTTCGTCCTCTTAGGAACGTCCAAGAGGATGAGATGAATGGCCACACGAAATGCAGGACACTCTAGGGCAAAAGGCAACTAGTGGCATGAGGGCACCCCTTCTTGTCTTCTGAAACTAAAGATGTTACTTCCCTCAGAAATCCTGATTGTAGCTCCTGAAATTAAGTAGTGTCAGGCTTATTGCTAACACTCATTGTCCCTCCACGGCAGTTCAGAAGCTGCTGCTCCTGGAAGCAGGCAGGACACGTAAGCCTTGAAGCAGTTGCCAGCCCTGCCCAGGTCATCACTCAGGATGGGCCTTACGTGGGGTGGCTGCTGCCTGTGGAAGTTGGGTCTTTAGAATCCTAATCCCTGGGCACAAGCAGCAGCCTCCAGAAAGTAAAGCCCTCCGCTTGCTCCACTGACAGTAGTGCCAGGTTAGATGTCTGCCTCAGGCCAGAGCCACTTAGGCAGCTAAAGCGAGGCCTGTAGCTTGCCGGGGCTCAGGTAACTCCCAGGTACAGGCTTTCCTGTCACAGGCAAAGACTTCAGGAGATTGCAACTTGTTGTCACTCGCTACCACGTATTTTCAGTCTGCCGACATCAGAGAGCAGCCAGTAAAACACCCCGTGTTGAGCCCTCCTGGCCTCCTGCCCTGTCCACCCCAGACCTCTGTCCTGCTCTTGCCAGTTCAGATGGTTGGAGTTGTAAGGGCAGCCACTACTTGATAAAACAACTGAGTTTCGTTCGCCCTAATGCTAAATGCCACATCCCCTGGGCACAGCGGCCGGGTAGGGGCTGCCGCGTACACGAGTTGTCAGGTGCAGCAGGCAGGGCCTTGCCTGGGACGGGGCAGCACCGGGTCCGGAGCAAACCGAGGCCCAGCGGTGCTGCTCAGGGCTCCCCGAGCTGCGCACGAGGGGCCCCACCTTGGGCTCTGCCCCTCTCGTGCTGCCAGCTGGGGCTAGTGTTCCCCTGTGCTTTACCTTTTTTGCTTTCTTTTAATGAATCAGTCCCTGGGTGAAAATGATGCATTTGTTTAAACTGAATATTTAATGTTGAGCAAACTGCTCTTCCTTTGTTTCTTATTATTCTGTTCGTATTTTGCTAAAAATCTGCTATTCTACACAACCATTTTAATAAACTGTTTGTTGTTGTATCCAGGTAACAAGCATGGTAAGTATTTTAACTAAACCAAGTATTATGTACCTTAGCTGTGCTTGGCAGAATTTTTGGCTAGCTTTTTTTCTGTACTTTCAGCCTGTGCTGTTTCTAAAGGAGCTATTCAAAGGAAGAAACTGCTCACCTATAGTATTACTACTACGTACAAGCTTTAGGGGGAGCATATGTGCAGAGTCATGTACCATATATAAGAGCATGCATCTCTTGCCAGCATGCTTGCTACTTTGCTTGCAAAGTAAAGCCAGAAAAACAGAAAAATTCTTGCCTAATATTGCTTGTGTTCCTTCATTCTAAGTCATGTACCTAAATATTAGCACTTACGCAGTACTGGAGATGAGGAACCCTCCTTTGGCAGATAGTAACAGTCTACTAGTTCCTTCTTTTATGTAACACTTAGTTAATTCTGTTGCATTGGAGACATTGCTTCCCTATTCTGTGGTCATACACACCTGGCAGTGACCAGGATTCCAAGTGCTCCCTTAGTACAAGTAATTGATTGGAAACCCCCTTTTCTTAAACTAGTTTCTATGTGCTTGAAAACAGAGATTTTCTGGCTAATTGTTTTCTTTGGGAACACTGGAAATTGGTAAAGCACCACAGTTGGAAATGTAAAATGTCATACGTATTTTTGCGATACAACTTTTAAAATACTTTCTGACAAACAGAATTAGAAATGTTTTCAAACTTGTGTCATGTTCACAAGTCAGTCGCAGTTCTGTGCTCTCATTTTCAAGTGCAGTATTAAAGGTAAACTTCTCAGTGCAAAGTCATAGAGCCCAAGTGCCAGGGATCCCTGTCCTGCAGGGATCAGCAGCAGACCATTTTCAGGCAAGCCTGGTGTAAAATCAGCAGAACTTGCCCATGTAAATGGTGGCAGCAGTTTGCCCTCCCTGCAGACTTGGGGAGCAGACCGAGCGTCCAGGGCTGTCACACCACGTCCCAGAGAGGTGTTGCCCTCAGCTAGTTTGAGTGTTAGCCTCCGTGCTGTATTTTTTTCCTGCATGGTTTGCTATTTTTGCATTTTCTGTGTGGCTTTTTAAGTTTTTAGTTATGTGCTTGTAGCTGCAATTATTTAACATCATTTGTTGTGCCAAATGTTTTAAGACTCCATGTAATTGTCATGTTAAAGGATCAGACAGCAAAGGACAAAGCACTCCAGCACATGGCAGCAATGTCATCAGCTCAGATAGTCTCAGCTACTGCTATTCACAACAAGTTGGGCCTGCCAGGAATTCCCCGTCCTACATTTCCTGGGGCACCTGGGGTAAGTTGTTAGCTGAGTCCCAAAAAAAACCCTGTGTTTTCTAACAATGTTCAGTAGAAAACTAAGGCTGAGTGAATGGATTAATGCTTTCGTTTGTGTTTGCAAGAGGAATCATGCTTGTTCAGAAATAGCCAAAGTCTTTCAACAAAGAAAACAATTGTGGGTCTGTTTGTTTGTTTTTCCTCTTTCAGTTCTGGCCGGGCATGATCCAAACGGGGCAGCCTGGATCCTCACAAGAGTAAGTCTGAAAAATAAAACATCCTTCTCTATGCACTGTGGGGCTGGCTTGTGGAGTTTGCTGCCTGAGGATATCACTAGGCAAAAATCTATAAATCTTTCTAAAAGGAAGGAAAAGATAATACTATGGAAAGAAAGGGTCCTTGCAGCAAAATGAACTAGTATTCAAAAAGTTAGAAGGGATCCCAGATCTCAAGCCTGGCGCTGAGCACCTCATGGTAACCTGCTTTTTCCTCCCCTGGGAGGGGGCAGTGACAGTGCTAGGGAAGCCCCTGATTAGGTTTTGCCCATGAATAAGTTTCCAGGACAAAACCTTCCACCTTGTTCACATATATGAGTGACACTGGAGGAGAAGGGAGGTTTCTCTGCAGGACAGAGACCACTCAAGGCCTGTTGGTGTTTGGGGGCACCAGCCCTGGGCACCTCGATGCCCACAGCACCATGAGGGCAGGAAGCCTGCGCCCTTCCTTTGGTGTTTTTAGCCCCGCAGCAACATCTTCCTGCCTTATTCCCTTTAGGTCAGCGGGAGTCTTTGTGGCCTGTGGGTTGGTGATGTTGGGATTAGCAGGGAGTCATGGCAGTCACGCTTAGCACAACCTTGTGTGGAGTGGGTCAAGGCAGGCCCTGCCTGGGAGCCTTAGGGGTGTTGGGTGCAGTTCCCCTGCCCCTGTCTCTCTGTTACCTCTTTACTGCCTGACTTTTAAGCATGCAGTATAAGGAGGCAATATGTTTGTGGGTAAATGGCGTTAACCATGTATTTTCTTATACTGTGTGATGCTGGTAGAGTAAATTGTGAGTGATGTGGTGTGTGATTTTTGTGTAACTATTTATTCCAGTGTAAAG